AAATATTTGAAATGTGTATTGTAATTTTCAATCTTTAAAAGAACTGTTAGAATATAGAGAAGATGTCTTGTACAGTGTAATATTTGACGTTGGCAATTCCTAGCAAATTGTCTGCCCCACTGGGTTTAGAGGTAGGAGATTTGCTCTTACTTTATGTTTTAGAAATCCTTCAGGATATCTACAGAATTGGCATGTTTGTGAAAATAAAGCTGTAGGGAGACTTCAATATGTATTCCACAGCTCTACATTGTCAAAGTAGTTATAACTACTAGTCAGACTACTGAGCTTGGCTTATTTAACCTCCCAAGGGAAGGCTGAGAAGAGGGTAGGTAGGCTAGCTCTGAATGTGTCTTAGGATTGATTACTGAAAAGAAGATGAGAGTAGGGAAGATACTGTTAAGGGCTTGTAGAGCATGTAGAGACTAGGAAAACATTTCTAACTCTGGAGCTGTGCAATTCAACAGCAGTGTACAGGGTTTCAGATCCCCCCCTCCTGCCCCCCAGCTCTGGGCTTTGCGCAGCAGTTTAATAAAATTATAAATCACAGGGATATGTGCAAGACAGCTGCAGATATCAGCATATGGGACTCATTAAGAGCAGATTCCTATACACTCCTGTGTTTCTCTGTAATGTGTTACAAGATTGCCAATTGCTCTGAGCTGGTGACTCAGAAATATAACAATGAAAATATTACTGCCATGTTTTGCATTTCACCACAGTTCTGTATGTGGTTTTACGCTCTTCTTACATGTCACATAGGACATATAATTAATAGTGCTGAGTAAGATCTAGTTTGAATTATGTTCTAATAAAGCGTGTTCTCACGAAACAGTACACTTGCTGCAAGGTTTAGTTATGCTTAGATGAAATTCAGTGGACTCTATTCTGTAGGAAAACAAAGCAAGAACAGATGTGCTAGTGGGTCATAGAGGATATGACCTAGCTGGGGCTCTAGAAATCCTATTTTAAATGGAGATGATCTCTGCCATCCTAGGTGCTTACAGAGGGCCATTTTAGCCCTTTAGCCTATGAAACCTTTGTTTTTACACTGTACTGTTTTGTTCTCTGCAAACTGTGCATTTCTCATATAGGGTTTGGTAGATTAATATGAAATTGCAGGTAGTGCAGAAATAATACAAATACTTGTTTGGGGTTAGCAAGTCTCTTAATTAGTTGTTCAGAATTCTTTTATTCTGAATTATCTTTTTCTTTTTTGGATATGCTATTCCCCCAAGATTTTTCATTTTAATGAAGAGGACTTTCAATGTTTAGATTCAAGAACCAGCATTTGATTTCAGTTCTGTTGATGATTTGCTGTGAAATTGAGTGTGCTGCTAGCATCTTCGTACTTCAGCTTTCATAAATGATACTTAATGGTTGTAAAGGTACAAATGGAGCTGTGTCAATGTATTTCAAATTGGTTTGAAAACGTGGATCTCACCCCTTTATTCACACTTGGTTTTTTGCTTATGTAGAGTTTGAAATTGTAATCTGTGGCAGGTATGGCTGATCTCACTGTGACGATAGACTAGGTTGTAAAAAGGGAGTAAAAATGTCTTATGCTGTATTTCAGAACACAAGCGATTCCATTTTTTGGTTTTGCCCTTTAAAGTCAGCTTAGTTGTGAAAGGGGGAAGGGTAATAAATTATTTTATTTAGATTATTAGATACTTTCCTTGGTCCATACATAAAATGTTGATATGTGTGAAAACACATGTTCCCTGTAACTGTGGAAACAGCTTCAAGATTGAATAACTACTGAATGCAGTTCAGGCTATGGATGCATTTGTAGGAGAGTTTTGTGAGACAGGCAGACACAGTGTGTAAGTCACATATCACTACCTTGACTGTCTAGACCCTGATGAGCTCGCCTCCATGTGCCCTTCCACTGCACAAAGCTGCCATCAGGTACTTTTTGTCTTTTTTTCCACCATCCATGTACTGAAGGTAAAAAAAAATAAAATGTATAGGTCAGCCCAGTTCCAATAGGCTCAGAGTGAAAATACGTTAAATGAGAGAAAAAGCAACAGACATCCTCCTGTATTTTTGAAAGAGGCTATTTTATCTGTACAGTGTGTTTTAAGTATCTCCTTAATTAAATCAAAATTGATCCATTGTTAGAGGTGAGTGGAAGAAAAGGAACATGAAGGACATGTATTTTCATGTTTTTGAGGAAGCTGGGTAGAGAAAAAGACTGGGCTTATGAGAATGCCAAAGAGAAAAGATACCTTCTAAGAGTATTGGATTAGCTCAAGAAAGAGTGCTTTTTCTTTATAATCGCTCCTTTGATCTTCACAAAGGAAATAGGTGGGCATTTTTTGTTAAAGAGATACCTGAGCATATGTTACAGCTGCTTAGATTATGTAATTTACTTTGTACCTTCTGCATGGGCAAATGCTTGTTTTATCTGAAATTCACCTACCTTCAGTCTTTAGTGTGATAGAGATACTGAATATATTATTATTAACTACTTTTTCTTTGTCTGGATCCTTTTGTACATGAAATACATGGCTACCTACGAATACTAGCATAACTGAAGAGTTTATATGTTTGTAAAAAAAAATGTTTTTGTAAAGACAGAGGTCTGGGGTTTTTTATGTGTGTATCTGCAATCCCATAAGCAGACATAATTTTATGGGTTTACCGTGAAGTGGCTACATTTTAGTCAAACACCAGTTACTGAGCATACTTTGACTAAGATTTGCCTCTTCCAAAAAAAACCTCTGGACTTCTTTGGTTTTGCAGTAAATTGAAAGTAAGCAGAAACATATTTGATAGATTGGCTTGAACGGGATCTGTAAATCAGAAACGCTGATAGTTGACATGCAAGTTAATATCTTGTTAGATATTTTTGATTACAGTTTTGATATCGTTTCTTTTCAATTTGGGTCATTCCAAATAGCATAATTATTTTTAAAAACAGTACATCTTTGTCTTTGTATAAGGTTGATGCCCTCCTGAGAGACACAGTTATTCCTTAGAGCGGTAGAGATTTTTTTTTAATATATGAAGTTTGGAGGGTTTATATATTTTGAGGTGCTCTGCTTAATTGCCTTTAAAAAGTATTTAAAGTAGACCTGACTGAGTCAGCAGATAGTATAAACTTTATCTTACAGCTTTTCTTAGAAAATAAATTATTTTTGGATGTACATGTTAATTTTATATTAATCAAATTGTGCACAAAAAGCTTTTATCAAACAACATTTGTCATAGGCATGATGTAAGTGGAAAAATTAGGCCTTTGTGAGATCAAGGTAGTTTGTCTTGGGAGCTCTGAACCCACTAGGCAGACAGAGGCAAGAGGCTTCTGCAGCTCTGTGTCCCCAGGTCCAGCCAGCAGCAAGGCTTGAGCGTGTGTTCCAGTTGGGCACACGTGCACACACTGTGGGGCCAGTCTCTTCGCGAGTGAAGAACCGGGGAAGGTCTTTCCACCTTCCAGCCTGCGCATTGGATTTTTTAGGTGAGACACAGTGTGCGCGGAACTGAGCCCACCCTTTAATCCTGAGGTTCATCTGCCGGGGCCAAGCGAGCTTGGACGGTGGCAGCGAGGTCCTCAGGACGTAGATGGGTTGCCTTACAGGGCTAACGAGCTCCATCTGCCCGGGGAGTGGCCCCGACCGGGAATCAAAACCGGGTCTCTGCAGTGACAGTGCAGTGACACACATTACATGTACACATATACACATGGTCATCCACTTGGATCAACATGGACACCACAGCACTCTCAAAGCACAAACTGAAGCAGTGGCCTGACCCTGTGTCACCTCTCTGGCTGGTCAGGTTGCACACCTGCTCCATTCCACTTGCTGGTGCTCAGCTCTGCTTCTGTGCATCCACAAGCATGTGCATGCACACAGAAACACACACAATATGGATCTTCCCAGTAGCTTTTATATTCAGTGCATGAAGTAGTTGACCTCTGGCCTCACACACAGACACATACATGCAAATGGGCCTTTCTGGTACCTGGTACAGGCTTAGAACCCTACCAGTAGCCGACCCTTGCTCCCCAGAGGATCTGAAGCCGGGACCTCCTGTTTCCTAAACATCTCCTAATAAAGTTTTGTGCCATCCCAAAATGCTCTTCCCCTGAATCCTGTCATGAGATCCATACCCCTGTGGGGATTAACCTCTTGACAGACTGTAAGGTGAGCAGGGAGCCTTTCCCTTCTCTTCAGCTGACAAGTGCCGACATCTAGACAGAATGATGCTGCAGTGAAGGATTGTACTTGTTAATGGAGTAAGACACTGCCTATGTAGGGGACGTATTATGGGATACATATTATCTCCAACTTTTTACATGTATTATAAATCATGCAGTTTGGTATATCGGAAGGCCATGCTTAAATGGTGTTTTCTTGGAAACTACCCCAGAATGGTAGCTTATCTGCTAGACGTTGGGGTCTGCCACATCAAAGAGGTTTCAAGTAACAGAAGAGCAAAGAAATTTACGAAAAAGATTTTCCTTTGTAGGAAGCTTCTTTGATCTTTGAGGAAGAAAAAATGCTAACTCTTCATTTTGATTTTTGTGTAAACCCATGGGTTTTTGTCATGATGTTAGTGCAACAGGTCAAAGCTCAACTCAAAGCAGAGTGTTAGAACTGCACCTAACCTGTGTGTAACAGGATTGTCCAATGGAAGCCTTTGTAGAATAACCTACATTATTTATTAGTGTTTCTTTACAGTATAGGATTTAATGGTACAGTAAAGAAATTACTATGATATATTGATCATATGGGACCTATACAAAGCATTTAATTTGAAGTCTGTTACCTTTGTAACTAACAGAGAATTAAGGAATTTTGAGTTGGAAGAGGCATATCCCCTAAATATCAGATCACCTTGTTTCATACCATCTTAAGTCGTCTATTCTTCAAGGTTACTTGCCAGTCAAAAACAATGAAAGTCATTCCAGAGTAATTTTTTTAAGATTAGTTGATATTTAGGAAAAAAGTACATATAATTCAAGTTTAATGGGAATATTTTTATTTTTCTTAAAGGAATTCCCTACGGTTCTGCTTATTCATCAGATGGACAGGCATGAAGGTGCATGGACAATATTGCCATTAATGAGAGAGTAAGTGTAATGAATGCCAGTTATTTTGAGAATTTTTTGTAACCAAGAATATATATATTAATTATTCCGACCTCTTTTTTTCAAAAGTAAAGTTTTCAAATGAGAGTTGCAACCTTATATCTTCACTTTCTTACTCTACTTTTTTTTTTGATTTTGCAAAGAAATTTTCTATTAGTTAAATCAGAGAAAGCTATTTTAAGTAACAATAACAATAGAATGTAAATAAACAAATGCCTTCTTTGAATCGTTGTGTGTTTTAAAATTATCAGGGAAGTAAACTAGTCAAAAGAACTAACATTTTTAATTGTGCATTTTTCTATTTGGTTTCCAGTTCTCACAGAGTAAGGTGTGAAGTATTTCAGAACTTTTGAACTCTCAGATTACTTGACTGAATGAAGTAGATTCATTTAAAAAAAAATAGATAATGGTGTTTGGGGTCCCTATCTGTTACAGTTTATAATGTTTGTAAGAGGTGGTATGCCTCTATAGGGGGAAGGTTAAGGTTTAAGCATCTTTTTAGGAGCTTATCTGGCCAATTTTCATCTTAGTCTGATAGGAGAAATGAGGTAGTCTCAAATATCTTTAGTTTTTAGCTTATGCAGATGAGCCTAAGGAAGACATGCTGCATTTATGGTAGTATCTTGCAAACTGCCAGGAAACCATGATTCTTATTTCAGAAGGTCCTTAAGCTCCATGGTACTGAGGGCTATCTTTTGTTTGAAGCTTGCATTTGAAATCGGTGCCAGAGACTCTGCAGCCTCTTGTGGTTTAATTTAGTCAATGTAATTTATTAGACTTACTTAGGGTGAGGTTTTTGTATCAGAGTGGTTGCAGGACAGAATGCTTTTCCTTCTGCTCTCCATGGCTTTCTGTGAGTGTGGGAACATGAAAATAGTGCTTGTATAGTAGCTGTCTTTGAGATATATGTACACTGTGAAAAGTAACAAAAGAGATTTGAAGTAAAATAAAAAACTGGAAGATGATGTTCCAACTATCAATCATCTTTTTTTTTCCTTCTAAACTCCTGTTTCAATGACCTAGTAGTTCCTCTTCTGAATTATTTATGTTTTGGTGACAAGACTTACAGATACACCTTTTCTAAGATAGCAAAACTTGGAAGGAAAAATAGAAATGCTAATTTGTGTAAGAAAGCAGAAGAAAATTCTTCAGAAATCAGAAGGGGAATCTTAAGTAGAGGATTTCCATCTTCATACTTCTGGAATATGAATTATTTTTTTTGTGTGTCTACTCTTTCACTTAGTGCTTTTGGCAAATGAAGACATGGAGTAGTTTAGAAGTATATTGAGGCTTTTACTGTTTTGTTTTCTCAATGGACAATAAAGGAAGAAGAGAGTTTAACCCATTCTGCAACAGCTGGTGATGCTTGTAATTGTGATATAAGATGCATTTCTACCAGAAAACTGTTTTCAGTTTTCCTCAGTTCTGTAGTTGTAAGAATTTTTAAGGACATCTCTTATGACCAGTTATGACAATTCTTATTTTTTTGTTCTAGGGCACAAATTAAGTAGGGCAAAGTATGTAATTTCAGAAGATGTAATCAGTGGATGTCTTATGACACAATACCCTTATTGTGTCCAGAAGGCCCACTACATTTCTTCTCAGTAGCTATGCTCATAAAGCAGAGAATAAATCCCTTTTTAAAACATTGTTATCAAAAACTGTATCTTAGCTAAGTATTTCCAATGGCTCCTTGCAGTCTGAACTCCAAAGTTGTGTGCTATGAGGTCTACATAACACTCTCTGCTGGCCTGAAGTGCTTAGCCTTGAAAATAATTCTGGTTGTCCATCAATAGGTAGATGAACAGATCATTCTTTTTATGTACTTATGTGTGCTGTATTCATGAGATGCAGCAATTCTTTTTGTGGGGATCACTCTAGTGTTTTCCCTTTGCCTTTCACCCACCTGCTTTCCTGCATCTCCAGACATTTCTCTCCTGAATTTCTAGCTGAGCTCTAAAGTGTGAGAGAAAAGCATTAAATACCATATGTATTTAGAAACATGAGAGTATCTGATGCACTTTCTGTACTTGTTTGGCAAGTCTTAGAGGGGGGCAGCTGTTTTTCCCAGTTGATTTTATCTTGTTTGCCTGAATGACAGAGTTGCCTGAATTTCAATGCTTTTATGAACTGAAAGGATGAATGGATCATGAGTTCTTCTGGCTATTGTAGTTTAGCAGATTAATTATCTTAAGCAGAAAGCACTGACAAATAAAATATTATTGCAAGACACAGAGGAAAGGTAGCTTTTTAGAAAGGTGACTGTTGTGATTCAGCCCCAGCCAGCAACTAAGCTCCATGCAGCTTCTCACTGACTACCCTGTGGTGAGATGGTGGAGAGAATCGGAAGGGTAAAAGGGAGGTAACTTGTGAGCTGAGATAAAGACAGTTTGATAGGTAAAGCGAAAGCCATGAGCACAAGAAAAGTAAACCCAGGAATTCATTCACTGCTTCCCGTGGGCAGATGTTCAGCTATCCTCAGGAAAGCAGGGCTTCGTCATGTGTAACAGTGACTTAGGAAGACAAATGCCATCACGCCAAATGTGCCCCCTTCCCCCAGCTTTTTATGCTGGGCATAATGCTGTGTGCTCTGGAATATTCCTTTGGTCAGCTGCCCAGGTTGTGTCCCCCACCCGTTCCTTGTGCACCCGCATCCCACTCACTGGTGGGGTGGGATGAGGGGCAGAGAAGGCCTCAAAGCTGTATAAGCCTTGCTCAGCAGTAACCAGCCCAAATCAGCACAGTGACTTATCCCAGATGAAAAAAAGGCTGAACTAATTTAACACCTGGCAACTATCTTGTGCTTCTGGCATCTAATTAAAATACTGCAGAGGCAGGTATCCCATTTTCTAGCTGAAGTATTTCTCAGATTGTGAGTTTGGCTTTTTGAGTGGGTTTGCTTGTTTTTGTTTTTAAGGCAAATACCATTCCCTAAAACATGAATGATCCCATTACTCTTTTTTACTTACTTTTCCTTACTTACATTTCAGCTGTTTCTTTTAGTTGCTGATTTTATTAGTAGCAAATGCTGTAGAGAAAGCAAACTGTGATGTTAATAGGTACTGGTTTTCTTATCCCTCTCCTGAGATGATTTGTTTAATTGAATCAATGTAACAGCCATGCAAAGGAAACTGGACAAATAAAGATTGTGGTTTTTTCCATTAAGTTGTCAAAGGCTTTGTTTTGATAAGTAGTGGAATAATTAACCTGGGAGGAGCAGAAAAACGAGGAATGACATTTTTTTTAAGGAGTCAGGAATCCTGATTGAGATTATTGCTAGCCTTGAGGAAGGTAGAGGAGTCCTTTCAATCTGTATAGTTTCACTATAATGGAAAAGCTAGTGAAGTTTTTAGGTTGGGAGTGATCTGTGTCCAACAGCTGTCAGAAAACCTGTCATTAGGCATTTTCATGATCGTTGCAGTGCTGTTAGATGTCTCTGAATTTGTGAATTAATAGGTTGCTGTTAGATCTGTAGTACCTGTATGTTTCTGAGTGGGCATTCGTTACATATCCCTGTTTCCTCTCTTCTCGAATAACTGGTGCTTTTTAAATCGGTATCAGCAGAGTCATTCTCTATCCATTCACTGTAACCCTTTATTATATAAGTCTAAATTAGTGGTTAAAAGTTCTGTTTCTGTATAAATGAATAATTGATTGCAAAGTACTTATATTTGGGGAATGTGCCTTGAATTCGTCATTTTGTTCATTAGTCACTTCGTTAGTAAAATTTTAATTTCTATTTTTAGCTTCGCTGTTACCTATGGTAGGAACTCCTCATGGATTTTCTTCTGTGAAGAAGATACAAGAATACAAGTTGTAAAACTGCTAGAAGTACTTGGAAGATTCAACAGGTCTAAGGTGAAATAAAAATTTACATATTTAACTTCCTTTTGAATGTGGTTGGGTGAGTTTTTCCAAATGGAAAAGATATATCTAAACAGCTTAAAATAGGGGGGATAGATTTCTGTTGCTGAGGCTGAGAGTAAGGTATTTAAACATGAAGAAGTACAAATGCTTGTCTAACTGTTAAAGAACCATTAAAATCAAGCAGAGAAACCATTTTTTCTGTGGATAGCCTGAAAATGATGTACCATCAATAAAAAGATGAATATAGTCTTCTGTGTGGTTCCCTCTCCCCATTTTCCTGTCTATCAGCAGCTCTGATTATTATCACACGGAATGACTGATGTTAGTCTGTCTCTCATCTAATATAGTAAGTTATTTTATATGCATTCTGTTTCTGAACTGTCTTGATGATAAGTTTTCTATACCTGCTGGAAAATGAAGCAACACCAAAAAATTTGAAGAGCAAAAAGAAAAGTGTGGCCACCAAGAAACAAAGTAATTTTGGCAATGCAACTGACTTGAAAGGTGTTAATATTTAGAATTTTCAGTATTCAGAAAAAAAGACATCTTGGTGTCAGCCTGTAGTAAAAGAAGCAAAAATCTGCATGAGATATGTTCTGCCTCTTTATTGTAACTCTGCTTCAGGACTCACTTTAGTGTATTTACTTCTTTGCAGGCACATGGCCTTGCAATGTCTTGTCACAATTCTATTCTAAAATGGGAATAATGATAATTCAGAGGTCTTACCTTTTTAAACACTTGGTCTACAGAATGGCTGACTGATTATATTCACACCCTTGGAGTATCCATTTATCTTTTTTTTTTTTCTGTTTCAGAAACACCTACTCCTAATTGACATTCTCAGAATAGAAAAATGAACATTTTTCCTAGATGCTGCCCTTTTACCAGTTTTAGTCTCTCCCTTGCATTACATGCAGGTTCTATTAAAATAACCTGAATTAAAAGGAAATTAAAATGTTTGCTTTTGTACATAGTAATTGTCATCTTAGTGTAACAGTCCATACCTGATTCCTTATATGTAGTAGTAATCCATCAGTCACAAAATTTAAGGTGAGTTATACCAGAACAAGCTCATTCGTTATTTGTTTGAAAATATCAGCAGTCAGCATAATAAGAAGTTGATATACATTAATCTGAGTAAAAGGTGTACAATGACCATGTGAATATGGGGTGAATCTGCTGCTCTTCAATCTAGATATTGGTAGAGATTAGTAACAGAACTATTGAGACTGATACGAATCTAATATTGAGTGTACTGTTGGGTGAAAACAGATGAATCAAAGCCTCTTAAGAGACCATGGAGGAATGTTAAGAGAATGATTTGCATTGATAACCAAGACCATTAAACATTATTGACTGCAGTAAAATAGAAAACAGTAAGGAATAGCTTATTTACATAAAGACTTCAAGGCAAGCATTCAGGTGTTGAATTGTACCTGAACATCAGGAAACACGTTTTTATTGTGCACATTGACTGCACATTGGCCCATATTGACCAAAGAGGAGTCTGTCCTTGGAGATAACTCACAAGCCATATGGACGTGGTCCTGAGCATCTTGCTTTGTAGGTCGACCTGCCTGAGCAGGGCAGGTTAGACCAGGTGATCCCCAGAGATCCCTTCCAACCTCAACCCCTTTATGATTCTGTGTTTCAACAGCAGATTGATTCAATCTGTGCTTTCATAGTGGAAGATGGCAGCAAGGTAAAACCAAATTGTATGTGCCACTCCTCTTCTTGGCGTCCTAGTAGGATGGTAGAATACAGCCCCAAAGATATCCAGAATGAGTAAACCAAGTTGATGGGAAGTAATGACTCAGCAGCTGTCGATACCTATAGGGTATAAAAGATTTGTCTAAAGGACAGATTGTCTTTGGGAAGCATAAGAACTCATAAAATATCATACTAAGACACAGTGAGGCTGTGGCAGCTGAAGTCTCCTGTGCTCTGTCAGAGATGAGCCTTTGAGTTTGGCACACTTTCCTTAGTATTTCTGAGTAAGTGGATATGAAAGTGAGTGGGTAGAATGAACTCGATGAGCAAGTTAGGTAAAGTCACCTCTACCCTCCCTCAGGTCTGGTATTGAGTTTTGTTGCATCACATTCTTTCAGCTATTAAATTGTTTTAAAGATTTTGGAGTGTTCTTATTCAAGGCAAGTGATTTTTGCCATTTTTGACACACAGTATATTAGCTTATCCAGTGGATGGTAGTTATCCACAGTGGAAATCCTGTTCTTTTTTAAAATTCACATCTTTGCCTGTATGCAATTTGATTACTGCAATTCCTTAAGTTATTTTATAAGTTCATTTGCATGTAACTAATCTAATCTTGTTAAGACAGCCTGCACAGATTGCCTTGTCCTACATATCTGAGTAGTAAATAAACAGTGTTAAAACAAATAAGCTTGGAGAGCGTTGGCTGTAACTTATAATGTCTTCCCAGTGATATACGACTTAAAATTGCTATAAATAATACTGTGTGAAAGCCTGTGGAGTGTATATGTATGGGTTTAATTTTGTATTTTATAGAGAAAGGAAAGTAGGGTTGTCTTCTTTTTTTTTTTTTTTTAATCCATAGGTTGTTTTCATGTAAAAATTAGCATCCAGAATTAAGATAACTAATTTTTTTTTTTTTTCACTCTGTAACACAACAAATTAGACCAGAAGAGTCTGGGAAAAACATTTCTGCAGATGGTACCATCAGAATAAAATGTTACTATTTATTAACTATTTCTGAAACAGAACAGCATGATTGTGTTATGAACATTTTGAAGTCTTGGAGGCCCCAAAAGAATTAAAAAATGGTGTGCACAAATGCTTCTAGAGAATTTTTGTAATACTTTCAAGGCAGTCATCTTTGTGCATAAAAATTAGTATGTTTGCCCATTTTCATTTACCTCACAGCATTTTGTTTGTTTTTAATGCTGTAGTGAACACTTGAATCCTTCAGTAAAGGAAGGAGAAAACAGGGCCTGTTGTTATTGAAGATCTAAATTATAGGCTGAGTGTGTAGGTACCACATGGAAAGGTTTCTTAACCACCATGAAGGTGATTAAGAAAACAGTGAAAAAAAAAAATGCCCAACTTTATCTCCTCTATGCTACTATATGTGTAGTGTCAGTTTACCTTTGCTGTTTCCTCAACAAATTGCAGAAACTGTCAGCCTTAGGAGGCACATAGGAACAAGTTTTCAGCATTTATGTTACCTGAAGAAGTCTCTAGTCAAGTACAAGATAAATTTTGCTTGTACTGAGAGTGGCTGATAAAAGTGGAGGGCAGAACTATGCGGGATTCATGGGAAATGCACTCAGCACGTCACACACATATATATATATATATACAAATGTATACCATGTTATACTTGCATCAGTCCCTCGGAGAGTCAGTGTTCCTGGCAGGGGTGGCATCCTGTATTTTTGGCTCATGTTGCTTTTATGGGTCCCGACCATCCTTACAGATGTGGGGTTCTTGAAGCAGGCAGCACCCGATAGCATTGACTTGGTGTGTGTGGCAAGACAAGCATCCCTGGTAGCTCCTGAGGGCTGCCTTTTATTGCCTTTTGGGGAGCCAGGTTGAGTCGTGGCTCGCTGATGGGGAGGTTGCCAGGCTGAATGTCCTATGGGACAGCCAAGCTCCTGTCAGACTCAGCTGGGTTTGGCTGGGAGTGTCTCCCGGTGCACAGAGACCTCTCTTCTGTTTGCTGGCTGCTGTGGTCTGACTAAATCTCATTTGTCACTTCTTGTTGACTCTGGCGAGCTGTAAAACTTAGTCTATATAGCAACATCTGCTTAGACTGGCTACTGAGGCACAAGATCCTCTTGGGGTTAGACTGGGTTTTGTAGGCCAGATGTTTCTACAGTATTTCTGCTTGAATATTTTCTCATTTGTCTTGAATTCTGTGTAAATTATTTTTTATTCATGTGAAGTGTTTAAAGTGTACTGATGCCTTGAAGCAGTTTTGTAGAAAAAACAGTTGCCCGAAGCTGCTTTGGCAGACCCTCCTTGAGTGGGGGAACTGGACTAGACAATCTAAAGAGGCCCCTTCCAACCTTAACTATTCTATGATTCTGGGATTACTGTGTTGTTTGAACAAATGAAATCAAGGGCATATGCTGGAGTTTGAAAATACAGCCTGTATTTGAATTCTGAGAACAACCTTTAGTTTCGTTTCTTACTGAGTACTTTTTTTTTTTTTTTTCAGATTATTTATTGTGAATAGTATGCTTCCCTTGTTTTTGTTTTCAGGTTTGCTTTATTCAGCATGAATGCAATCATCATCTTTACTAAAAGGATGCCGTAGATGAACAAAATTGTTTCCTATATTCCCTTACAGGAGTGGTTTTTAGGTAAAGCTTTATATGATGAAGAATCTACAATAATTCACCATTATGCCTTTGCTGAAAATCCGACAGTCTTTAAATTCCCAGACTTTGCTGCTGGTTGGGCACTTAGCATTCCACTTGTTAACACGTAAGAATTGAATTTTTAATCACTTCCTATTTATTGATAGTAATTAAGAATGATTGGTTTATATAATTTTTCTAGATGCTAATCAATATTATCTTAATGCATTATGATTTCACATTGTTTGATATTTTCTATAAAAAATGAAGGTATTCCTGCAGTAAAGTTGAAGATCTGTTGAAGATCATGTAGATATGAAGAGTCAAATTCTTTCGAGTGTCTTTGAACTGAAGCTCCTGATTGCAGCTTAGCTGTGACAGACACCTTGGGATGTACTCAACCAGTGCACACTGGTTTCTCATGGCTTTGACTTCAGAGCCTACACTGAACTTTTGCTGCTGCCCCCTATATTAACAGCATCCACACTGATTCATATCAGTCTGCTTTGAGGATCTAAAGTGCATAGGTAGATAGTCAACCAGGCACAGTAATGTACAACTAGCTCTGGGCATCTCTACATAGACTTGTGCTCCCACTGTAAACTTAGCCAGAAAATGCTCTTTCGATAAAATTGCATTTTTCCACTGTTCGACATATTCCAAGCATAATTATTATAAATAATTAGGAAGTCATTAGTAGATGAAGGTACAGAAGTAGGTTTGCTGTGCGTGCGATTTATTTTGCTTTGCTCTGCCTATGTCATCTAGTTAATAGCTGTCCAGTACTAGTCATTCAACTAATTCAATACCATATTTTGTAATTTAAAAAGTTCTTTCTCCCCCAGAGAGTGGGTTTATCCCTGGATCTTTGAGTGACTGCATTGCCCTCTAGGAGTGTTTCCCATGAGACAAACTATATGTTTCACATTAGATGCTTTCAAAGGAGATTTTAAGTTCATAGATTTCAGAAGTTGAATGCATCTTACTGTTGCAAGGATTGATGTTTTCATAAATTGAAAGTGTCTGAACGCTATTCTTTGCAATACACAAAAAGAGAATATTGTCTGAAGTGTGAGATGCTGATCAATATTGAGCTTCAAATGTACTGCTACTTTTAATCTGTTGAAAATATACATCTACTCCAGGTGAGAACTTTTTACTTGAGCAGGAAAAGTGTGTCAAAATTTGTGTGCTGAAAATTAATATTAACATCATGACACTAGGCTCAGATGAAAAAAAAAATTAATACAAAAAGAAATAGGAGTTGCTTCTTGAGGCAATAACTACAGAAATGTGATTTATTATTTTTCCCCTAATAAAATGGTCAGTAATACCAGCCACACTTTCCTGCAAACATTATTTTTTTTTAAAATATGATTTATTTTTTTAAAAATATGTTTGAGTAAATTTCTTTATCTTTAATTGTATAGGCTTGCAAAGAGGTTGAAGAGCGAACCACTGAAGTCAGACTTCACAATAGATTTAAAGCATGAGGTAAGCAGTGATGTGATCAAAAAATATATAAAGTTATATATGGAAATGGAAATAAGAAAAATCTTCAACATTGCTAAAAAGTTTGACTGCAATAGCATGTTTGATTTCTTTCCCTTTCTTTAAAATATTGTAATACTTTAAAACTATATTTTAAGCATAGATGAATTTATTAATGAAATTGTATTCATATATGAATGCATACATGGCTGTGTACGTTAAGGTGTCTTCTAAGGCTTGCTCTGTAAGGAAGGAGAGACTTGCAATTCGTTAAGGATAAGCTGAGGTGAATAGTATCTCAGGTGCTAGCCAACCTCACTCACTTTCTACATCAGATTCTCAGAGCTAAATATGGTGGGGGTTGCATTAAATAGTCTTGGGAACCCAACTGTTGTGTGAACAATCAGTGCTGCAACTTGCAGCTTGGAGGTCTGGAATTGCTACTTTTTGTCTCTGGTTTACAACAGCCTCAACAGGTAGGCCCTAGGTATTTCAGACTAAGTGAAATGACTAAAACATGAGAACAAAGGAGTGGGGGGCAGATCTGGAAGAGTATCGGTGCTACTTTTTCTGAAGCTATTTTATTTTTTTCTGCATTCAAAAGGTTTCTATACTCCAGGGTTTTGTACTGTGTTTAGTTTCTTCACCCACATGAACTTCTGAACCAGTGTGGAAGAGGAGGATGAATCTGGAATTGTTGATTTTGGCCTGAAATTGGGTGAATTGAATTAATTTTAAATATTTTAAAACTCTTGAAAGTCAGTTACGAACTGTGGTTATAGTCCTGAAGAAAACCCACCTTGCTTAAATCTACTGTTTCAGATCTTGTAATGGTTATAATCCTCCTCAATTACAACATAAATCTACAGTGTATATGTAGAGTATAGATTTGTTGCATATTTAAATGAATTTGGTTTTGTGGCAACACCATTCTTTGACGTAGTTTTGACTGATGTATTTCTTAACAGCATTAGGACCTCTCTCGGCTTTCATTTTGCTACATGAAATAAGACAACAAGCTGTTTCTTTCCTCTTGTTAGTTTTTTCTAAATGCAAGACCTCAGGCTTCACACTCTTAATCTTTTTTTTTGTAAGACAAAGTCGTTTGTATATTCCTAATATTCCAGTCTACCTCAGCACTGACAAAGTCTCTAAATAGTGTCATAAAAAAGATCATTAAGAGATATTGCTTTTATGTGCCACAGATTGCTTAATGAAAAACAATTGATCACTTGACCAGCAAAATTACTTCTATCTGCTTCTCATTCTGTTAGCAGGTCTTTGCATATGTTTAATTTCAAATTTATTGCCATTGATAATCTAATTCAGCCCTGTAATTATTCTTTCCGCACAGCCTCGTCTCCCTAGAAACAGTTCACTTCCCCCTCGTTTATTTTATAAATCACCAGCTTCTCCCTCTTAAATAATTTTTATCTTTACGTCCTTCTTGTGTGAATCAAGACTGACAACAAATCAAAGTATATAATCTGTTATCTTTAATGATTGTGTGTAATATTTAAGTTTATGAAGGATGAGAAATGTTTTAAGAAATATTTTAGTTTGAGAGAGTCCTAATAACATCGCCTTTGGTCTTTGGTATTTTATTGTGCTCTGTATCCTTTTCTTTTTTCCCATAACATTTATATCACTTCCTTATCTCTCAGATGCAGTAAAGGATTTTTGTCATGCTACCCATTTGTACGTTGTTGTTTAGACTTTTTGTAACTATATAATATATAGCATATTCCTTGATGCTTATTCAAGGCTGGAAGCAGATAATGGATTTTTTTGTACGTCTAACACTAGATTTGAACTAGAACTAAGACTGTTCTTGTCTTTCTATAGTAAATCCATTTCCATTGTTTTAGTAACAGTGTGTCATCCTGCACTGTAACCCAAAATAGCACTCTGACCTCACTTCTGAAATCAAATAGCTTTACAGCATTCTAAGGCTTCTATTGAAGATTTAATTTTCCAGTGAGAAATTTTAGCATATTGTGAATTTTCATAAATAATTCATGTTAAGTTACAGTTGTTAAATATTTTTTGTGCTGCAGGAGCATTGCTTCTTTGGTGGTTCATGCTATAGACTAACTCTGAATAGCTGAATTCTGAACTAATACAGGGATGACTGGTTAAGGGGACACAGGAGCACAAGTGATGTGTTCTCCTCTACCCTTCCAGTTTCAGGAAACAATGAGGGAAGCAACAGGAAGAGCCAGCAGACCAATGCCTAGCTCTGAGCCTGATGTCGCAGGCAGAGTTTGAGGTTTTTGATTGTGGGTCAGTTTACATGACAGCAGAGCTGCTGACAACAGATGGGGAACACCTGTCTCAGATGGGGAAAAGGATCTCTGTCCAGGAGTTAGCAGGGGTTACTGATAGAGCTTTACATTAGGTTTGGAAAGGAAAGGGATAAAACCAGGTTTGCTAGAGATAAGCCTGGGGGCACCATGCTGGTGTTTGAGGGATGGTGTGCTAGTGAGGTCCTTCAGCCTGCTGTCTCAGTGGAGGTAGGGGATGGAGATAAGCAGCTGGGAGAACTCTCACAGTCACTAGCACTCTTCTCATGGGGAATTTCCACTTACCAGATGTCTGCTAGAAATACAATAGATCAGAGAGGGATCAGTCCAGGAGGTTACTTCCTGGCACAACTGGTGAGTGAGCACTGCTGAATAGAGAAGGACTGGTGGGTGATGTGATGGATGGAGGCTCTCTTGGGCATAGTGACCATGAAACAATGGGTTTTATTCTTGGGGAAGTAAGGAGAGGGGGCAGCAGAACTGCTGTCTTGGACATACAGAGGGCAGGCCTGTTCAGGACATTGGTTGAGAAAGTCTCTTGGGAGGCAGTCCTGAAAGGCAAAGGAGTCCAAGAAGTCTGAACATTCTTCAATAAGGAAATCTTGAGGTGCAGGAGCAGGTCATCCCTATGTTCCAAAAGATGAGCCATTGGGGAAGAAGAGTAGCCTGTCTGAACAGAGAGATTTGGCCTTTGGAAGAAGAGGCAGAGAACTCGGCAGGACCACAACAATGCCATGAGGTTATGCAGGGAGAAATGCCCAAGTAGAACTTAATCTGGCTACCACTGTTAAAGACAACAAAAAATGTTTCTGTAAATACTGTAGCAACAAAAGGAGAGCTAAGGAGATTTTCCACCCTTTATCAGATACCAGAGGGAAACATAGCAACAAAGGGTGAAAAAAATGCAGAGGTGCTTAATGCCTCTTTAAGCCAGTCTTTAATGGTAAGACCAATTGTTCACAGGGTACCCAGCCCCCTGAGCTGGAAGACAGGGACAAGGAGGGGAGGTGATCAGTAAGCAGCTGCTGCACTACTTAGATATACTCAAGTCTATGTGGCCAGATGGGATCCCTCCAAGGGAACCAAGGGAACTGGTAGAAGAGCTTGTCAAGCCACTTTCCATCCTGTAACAGCAGTCCTGGCTAACTGGGAAGGTCCCAGTGGACTGGAGGTTAGCAAATGCGACACCCATCTACAAGAAAGGTCAGAAGAAGGATCTGTGGAACTACAGGCCTGTCAGCCTGACTTTGGTGATGGAGAAGGTCATGGAGCAGATCGTCTTGAGTACCATCATGTGACACGTACAGGATAAGGGGGATCAGGCCTAGCTATCATGAATTTCTGAAAGGCAAGTCCTACCTTGTTGTTGTGTATGGCTAAATGGTAGGGTAAAGAACCGCTTACATTCCATAATGTGAATATGGTGACAAGGCAAAAAGATAAATTTGGAGATTTATTTGCGTTTATTGGCTGCTCTTTACAATGAGTGTATCTGTTACATGTCCGTTCCATTTACTCCTCTACTTCAAGCATGATCAACAATTTGTCTTAATGCATAAACATAACTGGTAGTTTTCTTCCCTAGAGAGTCCTTTCCCTTGAGTACTTTGCTGAACTTATCTGTAATGCTGCGTTCGTCTGTGCTTTTAGAAGCACAGCTTATTAGCAAATAAACAGACCACTTAATGGTGAGGCTAAGAGAAGTTAAAATTTACTGTCTACAAAACTGCTTGTATTGGAAGAAGTTGCAGCTGAATAAAATGGTTTCTCAAGTCACTATCTGCTGAGCAGTGGTAGTGACCACGTTTATACTCACAGTTGTCAGTAGCCTGCATCTGCTCACTTGCAAGGAAGAATACAGTAATTTAAACTCTTTTCAGCAATCAAGCTGAATGTTTTTACTTAGCAGTTGAGGTGGTCAAAGTGTGTCTATGTAGTTATGACAGCCCAGCTACAATCAGCAACTTACTAAAAAGTCATCAGTTAATTGTGTTCTATTATCTGACTGTGCCCTGTTGAAAATCTTTCAAATCCAGAAGCTTATTTTAAATACGTAATTGTGTTCTAAACCTGACCCAGTCCTAACAAGGTGTGTAACAAACTGGCCTTCCCTCTAAGTTCCAGAAATAACTACATGCAGGTAGTTGGGATTTTCTGAGGAAGGTGAGACCTAAATGAGATGGACAGGAAAATCATAGAATTGTAGAATGGTTTGGGTTCAAAGGGACCTTAAAGATATCTAGTTCCAAGCTCCATGTCATGAGCAGGGATGTCAGAAATAATCATCTATAAGTTAGAAGTCTGTGACTGCTTTGGTGACTTGGGCTTGTTCAGTCCATACTTAATGCTCTTGGTTCTTCCTGAACAAGGAGAAGAAGGAAATATTATGCCCTCTTAATAATAGCATAATGATCACATTACTTACTAAAAGAGGAGTTGAATTCTGGCCCTAGGTTGGAAGGCTAAGGCTAAAAGTTACTAAGTAGGCATAAAACAGTGAAAAGGAAACTAATTTTCATTGCTTTTAGTGCATGCTGGGTCTGACCCCGTGTTAGAGAAGAGCACTTAACTTGTTTCCCATTCAAGAGTCATTGGGAGTATGTGTAAATAATATGGGAAACAGAAACTAGACCTCAGGACTAATTTTGCTCCCTGGGAGAAGTGCCATTCCTCCTGTAACTTCTGATTGAGTTAGATAGAAATGAACCTGGAAGCCAGATTTCCTGCATCTTGAGTATATGTTGAAACAGCTCATAGAATTTCATCTATAGCGAAAATATTACATGTTGGCTCTAGAAACACGAGCAAGAAGTAAGGTATGCAACTAGTTGAGTGACTGGGGGACAAATCTTCTACAGCATTCCATATTCTTCACTTTTCCTGTTAAGTTTGTCCTGTAATAGGATTATAAAAATTTCATCCAGTGTCATTACTGATATGTTTCCTACTTTGATAGATTGCCCTGTACATTTGGCAGAAAGGGGAAGGACCACATCTTACTCCAGTGCCTGAGTTCTGCACAGATGATGTGAACTTGTATAAGGTTGATTATTGTGCAACAACATTCAGTAATTTTCTGCCACTTTGTGTAAGTACCATGTTTTAAATATCATTCACTTAGTAAATGTAAAACTCTTACTAAAATGCATAATACTTGACTTCAACAATCTCAGAATTTAAGAAAATATTTTCCAATGAGCTATAAAAACCTTAACAAAGTAGTTTGTTCTGGATATTTCCTAGCAATTAATATTGCATATGCTTTAATGGGTCTTTCTATCACAATGTTTGATCAGCACATGATCTATAAAGTATTTACCCTTGCACTTCTGTGAGACACTGAAGTATAGATGATCGTAATACAGTATTTGTTGCCCTAAAGTACAACCCATCTTTTCCACTTCTAGGAGAATACATTTATGTTATTATGACTTGAGTGTTACTGGAGGCCAAAAAAGTGTTCCATGCTTCCAGGAGAGAGAAACTCCAGGTGCCAAAAAGGATAACAAATAAAAGTGGTCAAATGGTTTATTACAATTGAGAAAATTAAAAGATTTCTAATGTGTAGCATTTAATATGCTTTCTCCAAGTGTGATACAATTTAACATGTTCTTATAGTGATTAATTTCAAAGACATTAAAAAGCCATTTTTTTTTCAGACCTAGTTCAGCAAGTTCTTGTATTCATTCTCTTTTCCTAATGATAAGTGTTTTAGTTAATGTTTGAGTTCTTTATCAGTGAAAAAAGTATTTCAGTTATGGTATTTCAGGAATTTTAAACAACCAGTGACTTTTTTTTTCAATAGATAAAAATGTACTTCCTGATTTATTACTAGTACACTATTCTGTTTGACATGCTATACAACGAAAAAGTATTATCTGTTTTATTATAAGCATGGACATGGGTATCCTGTAAAATATTACAGGCAGAGCCTGCACTTAAAAGGTTATTTTTTGTTCTGTTCATGTAGGGAGAGCCAGTGAAAAAGGAAGACATTTTTGTTGCTGTAAAAACATGTCGAAAATTTCATGGTGACAGAAGTAAGTTGTTGACTGGTCATGGTACTAGGTTTATGCAATATAGTTCATTAAATGAATATCTGAAAAACAAGCTGATCTTTTCTGTCTCTGTAGCTCTTGGGACTAATGTTTGTGAAATCAAGTGGGAAACAGGAAAGTTTCAGAATTATAAACAGCTTATTCTTTAGGTAGAATTATTTTGCTGTTCAGAGTCCTCAGGAGTGCTGTCAAACATTTAAGATGAAAAACTGTGGTTGGTTGATGTTTCATCATTAGTGATTGTTGGCAAAAACCTTGAAATTTAATATCTAAATTAAAGTATGCATGAAGTTAGCTTATATTGTAAATTGCAGCTGTTGCAATATTAATTAATATAGCAGTTATTAATATCCTTCAGTGACTTTGCCCTAGATAATTGGTTCTCTTCTATTCTTTGTACTAGCAGTGACAATTACGCAGCTCCACGGTGGCTGATTTAGAAATTTGAACAAGCTAAAAGGTCCCTCATCTCCTCCTTCCTTTTGTCTTGCCCTGTTCTCCAATAAAAGATTGAGCAGCTTATGCTGTCATATTTCTTCTGGCTGTTGCCATGCTGTGCAATTCCATGTGCACATACTTGCAATGGGAAATTTTGTCTCTTGTAGATATTTGGTCGTATGTAGTACTTTGTCCAGCCTGTGGCCCAGATCAAGAGTTTCCTAAGTATGTGAAACACTATAGCATGTTTCATTTGAAACTGTAGTGATGATATTCAGCATGAAAATAGGGCTTTGGTATCCAT